ATATGACACCCGGCCATAAAACAGATGAATTACTGCTATAGGAAGGAAAATAACACTGATTATTTTAATTCATTAGAGCATCAGGAACTTCTAGCGGAACAAAACCACCCATATTAGTGTATTACCACAAAGAAAGAGAATAACTTAGGTTCACAAGGGTGAGTTTTATTAATTTTGAAATGCAAGTCTAGAATCTCCAAAGGCTATAGGACTTAAATCTAATTGTCAAAACAATTAACACATAAAACGCCATTCCAGCTCTGCTGCTGAATATATAAAGACAGTTTTAAAGTAAAAGATGCACGCTTGCATTTCATAGAAATTATAATATTCATAATACATTTAAATGTTAACGAAACCTACCATAGGGTCAGCCCCATTTCTACCTTTACCAGAGGAGTAACAAAATACATAGAGCAAGGGACATGTCCCAAAAATTGGACTAAAAAACATAGTCTCTCAAAAAGTCCTAAGACAGACCATTAAGATAAACAAGTAAAAATAAATGTTTTCTTTAAAGTACCACAGCACCTTTATAGTCCAATATATTTGTTTTAATCTCTTTTTAATCCTAATGACATCCTTTATTTTCCAAATAGTTGTTTACCTTCTTATATGCTAACATTCTTAAAAATCTCCACATAGAAATATTTGAGTCACTTCTCCTCCAGTAAGTACTACCTTCCCTGTAAGGCTCAGAATTACACCTACAGGCTTGACATCACTTTATAGTCCATAGCACCCTGTTGAATATTGATCTCTAGAGACCAGACTTCCGAATTCCTTCATAGACATGACCGGGTCTACCAAAATAGAATTCATGAATATGCTCCAGGCAGTCAGTCTAGGCTTCAAGTTTCTTTGGCTTGATGATAATTATTACCTGGTCTGCAACAGTAAGGTCTTTGCTTGCTCATAAGTGGTTGATTGCAGATAAGAATATGATGAGAAAAGTCACATTCCCACAGACATAAATTGCTAACACTGCCTTCTTAAAAACATGACCCTGAAAGAAAGATTGACATATGAGAGAAAGAAAGTACTATCATTAAG